TTTTTTTTTTTTTTTTTTTATGTAAAATGTTTATATATAATTGAAACATTTATGAAAAATTATTGAAAAATTTGCAATTTTTCAGGGCAAGCACTGTATTCTTGATGTGAGCGGGAATGCTATCAAGAGGTTACAAGTAGCACAACTTTATCCTATCGCCATCTTTATCAAACCAAAATCGGTCGAATCTGTCATGTGAGTTTAACAATAATTATCGATCGATCTCTAATATTAGTTTCACTATTATCTATCGTATTACAATTTATACTTATTATTTCAGGGAGATGAATAAGAGGATGACCGAGGAGCAAGCAAAGAAGACGTACGAGCGTGCCCTAAAGATGGAACAAGAATTTGGTGAATACTTTACTGGTGAGTCAAAACGTTTAAAATCTATTGAATGAATAAATGAATAGTTTATAAAATTATTCCACTAAGAGAGTTACAATCTCTCTTATATTCTCTCTCCTTGTGCCTTATGTCACTTATAACACGCTTGAGAATCTTAATACTTAGTGGTCCTAGAATTTTAAAAGTTACATTTTCCGCAATGCATTGAAATTTTCTATTTTAAACAAAGAAATAGTCTAAAATGTTAATCAGCTGATATCGAAAAGATTATTATTATAAAGAAATGTTTGAATGTTATGTTCTAGTCTATTAAATTCATGAATTAAATATATAATTGAATTAAAACATCTAACAAATTTTGATTAATTATGCCGATACAATATTCTGGATAACGCAATATAACTCATTGTATTGATAAATCTCAGAATAGATTGATATCTCAAAGAATCAGAGTCATAATCGCTGCAATGATTCAACTGTTCTCATTGTCTAATTAAGTCACTCGTTCGCAGCCGTTGTCCAAGGGGACACTCCCGAGGAGATCTATGTCAAAGTGAAGGAGGTCATCTCCGAGCAATCTGGACCGAACATCTGGGTTCCGTGCAGGGACCAGCAACTGTGACGTCCTGCCCCCCACGCTCAGCACGGGCCCAACGCCTGGACCCTGCCGCCGAGGCGTAAAGCTTAATTATTCATAAGTACGATTAAGCAATGCTCTAACGCCCCTTCCCCATCCCTCCCTCTCTCCTTCCCGCATCCCCATCAATTACCCGTGTAGCACAAGGTCCGTACTTGAGGTACGCAGCGCGGCGTAAATCGCCGCGAGGGATTTCAAGCTGAGAGAATACTTAAGCAGCGGAACCACACCGATAGGGCCGACCACTGTTTTTCCGCGAGAAACCGATAAATCTAAGTCGATCGGAGCGTGTGATTTTATTCACCCCTATGTATATACGAAATCCACTGTAGAAAGATCGTCGAGAGAAAACGATCGGAGGAGGGGGAAAGGACTTGAGCACTTCACGCGTGCTCCGTCACGTTGAATTTTATCGCGGAGAAAAATTCGTGAACTTTTATCGTATGATCGTCGATTATTCGTGTGTGATGGTCCCTAATTTTATTAATTATGTTTATCGCCCGAGCGATGTTACAACGGCATCGCGTATGCAGACGGGACGCGACGGGATGAACGTCCGATACGCGTTCCCGTAGAAAGCTTCGGCGCGTAGACTTGTACCGCTCCTTTATATCTTAACGTGTTTCTTGACACCGAATCAGCGGCCGTCGCTGATCAAACGTGAGATTTAGCTTGCACGATTTTTTAGCGGAACCGACGCGGAACTGGCTGATGAACAGAAGAAGAGAAGTAAAAAAAAAAAAACCGCTGCTCGATCATGTACTTACGATATCGTGGGAAAATCGTGATAGGCGTAAACGGACGAAGCTGCGATTCGCAAGAAAAAGAAAGTACAGATGCGCTCAATTAAGTTTTCGATTACTGGCAAATAATAAGATTTTTCATTCGGGAATTCGCGTTCCAAGAGCGGATTCTCGATATCTCTCTCGCTTTTGGCATTCCTCCGTTCGCCGGGCTGCGAAGCAGCTCGCAATCGCGTGCACATCGCGTCGACACTTCGTCCGCTTGCCTCTTCCGTTTCCTATATAGCATTATAGTATAAATAGCATTAATCGCGCGAGAAGGGTTATGACGCGAGCGGGAAATCGAATTCTTGCGAACGCGAGGTGTCATTACGGCAATTTAATTGTAATATAGCTGCATTGTCGTGACACGGATATTGCGAGTCGCGGAGATAATGACGATAATGATAATGACAATGATTGACGTAGCTATCGCGCGTTGCGGGTCGCGAAGACCTCCCGACACGCGACGAACGCTTCTGTCCAACCCCCCCCCCCCCCTCCCCCCTTGGGATAGAGCTGAACGTTTCTTTTCCCTTAATTTCGTAGTAACGTTTTAACTCGCGGGGGACCGGATAATCTCGCGCGGATATGCTTTCGAGCTATTACCTACCGCGAGCCCTAGATTATTATTATTAAGCGTGTATCATATGAAATGAACGAGGTACGAAGCGACGAGCTTCGGCTTGTGCCTGAGGGATAAGAGGGCCTGGCTTCGCCGAGTTGAAAGATGTCTGTCTCGATGTAAAAGACCGTATATAAAGAGAATAATTAAACCGCAGACACCTATTATACACCTCTATAGTCTATTTAATAATATTACTTATTGAATTGTCAATCTCATGTTCACCTTGTTTCATCGTTTTTAAATAGTTAATAAACGTTTTACCAATTTTACTACTGTCTATGCATTCGAATCCCTCCCTGCTCTTCGCAACGTCGTGGAAAAGATGCACAAGATTTCGATAAAGGTGGTAATCGGCGACGGCGAAAGATATTAATATATTAATAATGCAAAAATTATTAATAAAGATATTGAAGTATTAATGCTAAAAGAATTGAAGATATTTTTATATTGCGTGAATTTTTGTATAAATAGAAATATTTAGTATCTAAAATCTAAAATGTACAATGTTTAGAGATAGTTAAAATAATACGTACGCGAAATGACTCGAAATAATTTTGTTGCGTCTTAGTGCGTTTTTGGTGACGATATATAACTGGGGATAATGAAAAATAAGAGTTTCGATAAAAATATTTGTTTTTATTACATCGATCGGATAACTCGTTATTGTTATTAGCGAAAAAAAATCACAAATATTCATTTCCTCATTAGAAAGTCCATTCGTCGGGTCCATCGTGACTCGCTTATAACGACTACGGCGGTGACAATAATAACGATAGTTCCTCTTTACACGAATCACAGTAAGACTCTAATTTGTTCATCGTCAACGTTATTTCGAACTAAATCTCTGAAATAAAATATATATATTTGTATATATATATATATATATATTTATATTTATATATTTGTTCATCTTTTTATATATATATATATATTTATATAACTTCTGTTTCTTTATCCGCATTAAAGCAGCAGTTTTAACACATTTAGAAGTTTCTTGAATATATATATTACAAAGGGGGGCGAGAAGGGAGGAGCGTTGTCTGAATGTTACACGGCTAAGAAAATGTACATCCATCATTAGCTACTATGTATATATGATACAATAAAAAAGCGAGTAATCATAAGTGGTAGTGATAGTAGTAAATAGCGATAGTCGCGGTAGTGATAGTAGCAGTGGTAGTAATAATAGGAATATAGTTCTAGTAGTCGCAACGTGAGATATATATATACACACTTCGTTTATCATGTTATACAACGTGACTTCGCGAGGTCGATTAATGCTTTACATTATACACAGATAATACGCGCTGATATAAACAAGTATTATTTCGCATTCTACTTATACTTTACGCATCGACTACTTAGGAATAAATGATACATATACAGTACGTACACCATTGTTGTATACTTGTCGTTCCGCTCTTCCGCGTTTCGCTCCTCTCTCTACTACTACTTCGTTTCGTTTGCGCGGCTGAAAATATCGTCGGTATATACAATTGGTAATACAACTGTGTCTCTATTTAATCGATCGTCAGCTAAATAAAATTGTGAGGAGCCACGTTCGAGTGCACGCGGATCGCTCGCGCAACGAATCGCATCGCATTAACATCAATTAATATCACTCAATGTTAATTAGATATTGATTAATCGTCTCTCGCGACGAGTGAACCCTCCCTTTTTTTTTTTTTTCCAACTAACTACTGTACACACACGCACTGATACGCGTCGCTCGCACGCACGAACGCATATGTCGCCCGTAGTCGGTACATCGTCAAGTTATTTTCAAGAATACACGTGGATTTTTCCCTGAGACTGAGATTATAACGATTGAAACCTCTGTACTGCACGGCATCAAAAGTAAACGCGTATTGCGGCATCCTAAGCATCTGCGAACCCCCGCGCTTCTTCATCCTTCCTTCGCGATCCTGTCCCGCAACATTCGCAGACTTGCACACGATAGGCGCCCGGATGCGCCTACACATTCCGCCCAAAAGTCGACACGCAGGAATGCTGCGAGACGATAAGTACGATCAATCGAATTGGCTCTGTCAATGTTTAAAATAGCCTCCTCGTCTCTCCCTAAAATTCACATTTCTAAATTGCTTTGATCGAACACGACGTCGCTCCGATGATGGAAACTCGCTGTTTCATCTCTTTTCGCAACTTGTCCTCGATTTCGAATCACAATAACAAAATTGCAGCTTTATTTCGAATATTATTCATGCCTTCATCGCGGTATCGTTCTTAATTATATTGTATTGCAAGAAATTCTCTCCTCCACTTTAGAAATTTTGTTAAACGTGTGTCTGATCACCGATACGCGACGCGTCAACATTGCCCCGACATCACAAAAACGGACCGAAGATAAAATGCAAAAAAGAAAACAGATACATTATTGCACAGTGAGCGTTATTCGGCGATGTTTAACCGACATGAACACTCGAAATAATATATATATATATATATGTGTGTGTGCACTTTATGTATATATATATATATATACACACATATATTTCCTATCTTTCTTCTAACTTCTAAAAAACAATATTTAATGCATCTAGCCGATTAACAAAACAAAAACGTTACTCCGTGAAATTGCACTTCCCACGTTTAAGAATTGAGCCATTGACACCTCTCTGCCGAGTCCGTCTTCCATCCGAATTTACGCTGATTGTTCAACTGGAAGCAACAAATTAGAAATAGATATCCTCGTGTGGATACGATCCAGTATTACACATATCGATATACAATACCAGAGAGAATTAGAAATACTAAAAACAACAGAACTTAGACGGCGGATTACACATCTTAATGCAAGAAACGCTAATTCTCGACTCAATAAATTGAATTTTAACACATTCGAGGTTTTTCAAGCACCTTATTCCCGACATGTTACGACACATATCATAAATATATAACTCACACGACGCAACATACGATTCTTTCAATACAAGAAAAGGGAAAAATAACACAAAGGTGTGGTAACATGATCAATCGCAGTGGCGATTTCAATTACGTTACGCCCTTAACATTGGTTCTCGTATTAAAACGATGCATTCTACAAACAGTTCGAAGAGGAAAAACCTAACATTAACACACACGAGCGCGCGTCCCAAACTCCACAAATCCTGGAGTGAAGTCTCTTAAAAAAAAAGAGAGAAACTTCGTGAAGCCACGTGCGAGATAAAAATATATCTGGTACGACAGCTACGTTCTTTTTCGCACTCCTAAAGTAATTTATTAGTACTATTTACGTTATCGTTATTTTTGTCATCACTATTCCGAGACTCGGTTCGAGAAAAATCTCCCGTTGAAGAAGTCTTTGCATTCTCGTGTCGTCCTCGTCACTTAAACGACAATTCTCATTTTATTCGCCTAAAAGCGCTACGTTAATGAACTTCTGATTATTTAATCAGTCCTTAAGAGAATTAATAAAATATCATCGTTTTATGGATATACACGCGTACATTACGCATATCCCAATTAAATACTGCTATATAATGTCACAGGTAGCTGTTTTCCGTTGTCCCCACTCATAGCTGCGCATTAAGTAGTAGATCGTTTCATTTAGAATTACATTTGTATCGGTTACGTGCTTCGGAGTTTGATTGCGCGTTACACTCACGGTAACCTGATTATCGATTTTCTTTATTACCTGTGCAAGGGATAAGAGATATAGCGAAAGATTCGTCACTTAATCCGCTAATGAAAGAATCGATTATATCTTTTATCGCTTTGGTCGAACTAAATTGTATCGATGTACAAAGGCATGAAACAAATACAATTCTAGGGCCCGTGAGTATCACTGATTCCACCAGAAGTGTATGCCCAGTAAAATGCAGATCGCGAGTGGAAAATCGATTATCAGCATCAGTCAATTCAATTTACCTTCGAAACGTAAGTACCAACAAATGTTATAGAGTCTTTGGACACGCGTAAAAGCACCGATCTTCATTGTTGTGTCAGGAACGATCACCCTTGTTCTCTTCGGGGCGTCCAATCGTCCTGATGAAACGAGTCTCAGCCACCCGTTTAGGATTCTTCCGACGTATTGCAAGGAACTTGTTCGTCTTTCTTTCAACGCGTTGTAATTCGGACACACACATTCCAGTGAGAACTTGTAGGTCGTGAGTAGTCGCGATTCTCGCAGTTGTCGTGAAATCTCGTTAAGTCATCATCAGCTAAAATTGGCTGCTCAATCCGTGGAATTTTTGCTACGTATCTCCTGTCGCTTCCTTCCCTGCTGCCGTTCGCGTTTTACAGCGGCGCCTTTGCGCTCGGCTTTCTTCTGGTGCTCTTTGGCCGGAATCGAGGTCGATGGTTTCGATGTCTGGGGATGCGGTCGCCCCAGCGACCCCTCCTGTCACCTAAGACTGATCAGCACCTTCTCCACGTTCAGCAGGGACTTCACTTTATCGTTGTACTTGATGAGGGTGACTTTGGAGCCGCGCACGTTGATCCTCTCGCCGCCGCTCAGTAGATGACAGCAGTGCGTTTGTTCTAAGAAATCCGACAGCTTGAGCTCGCGCATAACGTCGCGATGCGCGACCGCGGGCGGCCCGGAGGGCGCTTTCGGATTGATTTGGCGGAGCAGAGCGTCGCGGCTCTTTATCCTCAAAATCGCCATGAGATCTTGAAGCAGCACCCACTTGTCGGAGTCGTTGTTCAGGGTGAAGAGAACGGGCAGGTTGACATCGCTTACTTCCATCTCGACGTCGTCCAATTCCAACTCCGGACTGTCCAGCGGAGTGTCATCGAGCGGATTGTAGCCCGTTTCTACCGGATCTGCGAAAACAAATTTGCAGAAAGTCGGTAAAAATAGAGGTTAGGAAAGTTGGTAAAAATATCTTTCTAGAATTTGCGTCATAAATTTAAGAATTTCCGAATGAAACTTATGCCGTTGCGTACCAAAGAGAGAAGCTGGACCGGCGAACGACCACGGCACCGTGGTGCGACCTTGAACATCATCCAGATGCTGCTCTAGAATGGAATTGGCTTCGGTGTCGACGGCCAGCATTAACGGCGTTTGTCCGGAATAAGTGGCCAGCAATGGATCGGCGCCGTACGACAGCAGCAACCGTACGAGTTCCGTGGCACCATTCTCCGCCGCCTCGTGAAGCGGCCTGACAAAGGAGAAGGACATATGTCACTTTCTCTCAAACGATCGATAGCCGCCCCCCACAATCGCCCATCAAGCCACCTTGCCTAAATGGCAATTGCGCAAATCAATAATTGGACGGAAGCATTACCTGATACCGCCATTAGCGCTCTCACTAACGTTCGCGCCGTAAGCCAGCAGGAGCTTCGCGATCTCCAGATGACCCTTGGCGCAAGCCTCGTGAAGCGGCGTATATCCCGCGTTGTCCTTGGGACTCGGCGCGTTGTTGAGCTTCTCCAGGCAATAAGCGGTCACGTCCTGCGGTGAAATCGCCGATTAAATTCGTGCAAGTCGCTCGTTAATTCTGTCGCATAACGCGCGATCCTTTTCTTACCGTGTAACCGAGGCGAGCGGCGCGGTGTAATATCGTTTCTCCGACACCCTTTTTGATAACCCACGTCCTGATTTCAGATTGTATGTCGGCTACGCATTCCGGACTTGGCTTGCTAGTCTGACTTTGCTGTAAAATAATGGCGTTTAAAAAAAAAAAATCATGAAAATAACGCACTTACTGCGAACAATTTCAGGAAATTAAAGCAATCGAAATATATTAAGAATCGCATACGTACTCTCTTTCTGTCCTTTGGCAACGCCTCGTCCCTTTTCAGTGGCTTCTTCTTCTTGCGGATGTAATCGAATCCGGAGCGGAACTTTCGCCGGCCGGGCCGGAGTTTCAGTTTCTTTTTATTACGAGTCTCCGGATCGTTCTTGTCGTCCTCCATCTCGTTATTTTCCTCCTCCCTGGCGTCGTTCGTTTCTTCCTGCTCCATCTCAGTCTTGATACGGTGCAGTTTTTTGTCCGCGAGTGACTTCAACAAATCCTTCCGTCGCCTCGCGGCGGTTAACAGGCGACGCTTCGAATTCACGATCGCTTTGTGACTCCTCAGTATACCAGCGTTCCTCAAGCGCGACGCCACTTTCTGCTTCAACGTCCGCACCTTACCCAACGCGCTCTCCGGCGTCTCGTTCTGCGAATCGTCATCCTGAGACGTGTCGTCGTGATTTTGCATCGGCGGGGCCGACGCGGGCCTGTCCTCGCCGAACACCTCGCGAATAGTCGCCTCCTTCTTCAAAACTTTCGTCTCCGTTCTCGTTCTGCTCTTCAGCACGAGAGTGGAAAATTCGTTCGGCAACGTGTGATTGTTCTTGAACGCGTCGCGGAAATTATTGACCGTCTCCTTGCGAAAGTAGCCGAGGAGGACCGACTCGGTGACTTTGATTGGGGTTTTATTATTCTTTAATGGGGTCTTGTTTCTAGAGTTCTTCGACGTTTCGGATGACGGGATCGGCGCGAGACTCGGTGTCGGCAACAATTCCGGCTCGTTGCTGCTCTTGTTGAGAATCTTACCGCCCTTCGGATTCTGCTTCTTCTTCGCGTCCTTCTGACCGCTGCCGACCTTCTGCGCGAGAACGTCGACGATCGAATTGTTCTCCGAGCGGGAATGTTTTATCATGGCCTTCGGAGGGCAGGAAACGGTCGTTGACGAAGTCGCCTCTTCGTCATCGATTTTACTGCCGAGTCCAGCAATGCTGAAGCTGTAGTTGGATTCCATATCGCTGTCCACCAATCTCTTACTGCGACCGAGACATACATCGGAGCTGTCCATCGAGACGGACAGCGCCGGCGATCCAGGATCCAAGTCCGGCAAGGACGTGGACAGTCGATGAAAACGCGACGGCTTCGACACTGTTATCAATCTCGGCGGCATTCGCAGAGACTTCTTGTAGACGTAAACCTCCTCTTCCCAGCCGGGCCTGAAGTCGCTGCCATCGCCAAACAGCGGCTTAGGCTTGGCTTTCTGAGAGGTGCCACCTTTGGGAGGCGACAATTTCGACTCCTTGTCCGTCTTCGCCTTGTGGGGAGTCGTGTCTCTCGAACGGAGCTTCATGCCTTCGGACACGTTGACCGTGGATCGTTTCCTAGCGCGAAGTCTGTCAGCCACCGACGAACCGTGACCGAACTCGGTGCTGGCGTCGCTCTCCTCGCTCGACGATTCGCTGCCGCTCGAGGACTCGAGTTTAATTCTGCTGCCGCGACGTATCCTTCTCCTCCGGCATATCACTTCCTCGTCACAATCGCTGTCCTCTTTCTTCTCCTGCCTCTTCCTCTTAATTAACGGCACTTCGTCCGAATCGTCACTCGATTGTTTATCGTCGTCCTTCCCCAAGCCGGGCTCCGTCTTGATCTTGATGTCTTCGAAAACTGAGTTTACTACCTCTACCTCTTTACTAGCTTCCGGCTCCTTCTTGATATCTTCGGGCTTGATTTGAGAATGCGACGCATTGCTATCCGACTCCTTGTCGCTGTCGTTAATCCCGTCTTCGTGCTTCGACGTCCCAGTGCCGCTCAACTTTTTCCTGCGACCTCGTTTTTTCGCGGCATCGCCCACGCGCAATTGCTCCATAAACTTATCACAGGTGACACTCCAAAATGAATCAATGTCATTGATTTTATCATTCTCCTGCAAATAAACGATTACGCTCGTTAAAGATTAGAATATAAACAATGGCGCTCGTTTACGCGATAAATGTTGCGGAAAAAAATCAAAGAAAACATTGGACGAACAAAATCAATCAATTATTACAAAATTAAAATCTTTATCTTTATGTCAAGGAGAATATTATTCTACTCTAAACATCTTTTAGTAGTGTAGACAATTTTTAATAAAATGCCTTATAAAAATTTCCGGCATTACTTTAAACATGTGTTTAAAGAGACATAAGCAGTGTGTTTAGGCTCGACTGGCGCGACGACCTGCGAGAATTGTTGTCAGTTTAAGGAGACATAAACATGTGTTCAAGAAAGCGGTATATTCGTTAAAATTAAATTTTTGTTTTTGCTTCTCGAGTTCTACAGAGCAAGACATTCCGCCCGAGAACAATGGCTGTTTTTCACTTGTTTCTCTGATTTCGCCACACCCAAAAACAATCAATAAACAATGGAAGTCTGACCAATAATAATCGGTGTTGAATTTCTATTGGTTCTCGGAATCGGACGAATCAAGATTCGTTTGTCGCGAAATGACAGTTACTGTGATGTGCTCCTTCAAACCTCACTGCGCAACAAGCTTTCGCCGGGAGCACAGCAAAGTCTTTGCCGCTGACGGAACGTTTGCTCTTCCGCGAGTTGAAAAAATCGCGAGTTCGGAGTGCAAATAAAAACAAGAAATTATACTGTTAACCGGACTCGATTTCTTTCCGTTCTGTCTCTCTGATCGGCATTTAAATAAATTTAGCGTGGACGTGACATCGAGAGCGCGTCTACAGTATGCAAAACGCCAGCATAGTAAGTTTAATAACTTTTTTAAATAATCTGGTATAAAAGGCGAAAAGAGCCGTTGCTAGGTGTTCGTGCGACAAAAATTCAACTATATTATAAAAATTATAGAATTGCAAACGTTTCTGCCTATGTTAGGCCTTCTTCAGTGTCGTTACAAGTAAAATTCATAATAAAACAGTATTACATTGGTCGAACCATTAAGTAAACAAATAAGGTAAAATACGCAGAGCATTCTTCTTAGTAAATAGACACTGAAGAATGTTGTTAATTTATTGGAGCCTTAATATTATTATTAAACTTTTTAAAATTTAATTTCCCAAAATCACATTGAAAACGGGTGTCTACAATACCCCCTTAATCGCGCAATTTAATACTTTCCCCCAAATTTATGGTTTGTGACATTGCAGAGTTTTACCTTCAATTCTATCTTCACGAGATCGGTCGCAGATGCGATGCATACGGCATCGTTGAGAGGCATCGGTGGCTGCACTTTAGATAACTGCTTTCTATCCCTCCTCATTTCCTCCAAGGTCTGTCGCTCGAGAACCGGCATCTCACTTTCGGAATCACTCTCCCGGAAGTCGAAGACCGAGGTCTCGGAGGAACTTCTGCAGCCGCTTGTTCTGGCCGGCACCGCGGACGCGACCGGGGGAGCGACGGGCACAGGCACGGCCACCGGCATGTTGTCGTTCTCGTCGGTTCGCGAAAACAAGCGTCTCCTGGGCGGCAGGCAAACGACTTCTCGCGCGTGAGTTTCGGCGGGCTGCCCGCGGACGAACCCGACTGCGGCGTCGACGTCGAAGCCGCGCTATCGATCTCTGTGTATGATACAAATCAAATTATATGCGGATCAAAGGCAGCTGCGTTTCAACACGATTCGCACGTGTAAATTACGTTCGAATCAGAACATTAAACAACTTACACCAACACAAAATTGTCATTGATAAAGGCTATTAGCTTGTCTTACGCAAGCCGTCTAATTACCTTTCGGCGTCGACGACGTATCTTGAGGTGGTGCTTTCGTTGTAAATTGGCCGATGCCGACCTGCAGAAAAAAAAACGTAATCATAAGATTCAACACGATAATATAACGATAATTAGTTAAGCAAGACTCACTTGTTTGAGTTCCGCCTTTGTCCTGATTTTCGCGGCTAAGATAGCAGCCAGCCCGTCGTCCTTGTCGCGATGAATCTGATTCTCAGCACCGCGTGGTCCCGCGAGGGAAGCTTCTTTGCCGGGTAGCGTGGCGGATGCGTTTACTCTCGACGCGTACATGCTGCGAGGCGCCTCCTGAGTAATCGAGTCTACCGCCCGCGGAACTTGGAGCTTGTAATGCGGCGGCGTGTTGCTGTTACGCTCCAGCAAACTCGCTGCTGTGAACGGTGACAGATTGTGCCTGCCGATATTTGTTTTAGGCTCGACTGGCGCGACGACCTGCGAGAATTGTTGTCAGAGATGTCAATATTCGAATGTCTCGAGATTACTTAATTCAAAGTTTCTTTCTAAATTCTAAATTGAGTTATAATTAGACGAATACAGCAGTTTAATGATTCTCTAATAGCTTGCATATTATGTATATAAAATATCCAGAGAATCACTAATTGCCGTATTCATCTAATTCATAATTCAGTTTATCGCGTTAAATTTTTATTTTTGCAATCAATTTGTATTTATCGACGATTCGATGTTCGCTTTCTTATGTTTCTAAAATTTCTCTTGTGCTTTTCCTAGTGTAAACATTTTTTTTCAAATTAATATTTCCAGATATTTTACATATGTATATAAAATATTAGAGAATCACTAGATTGCCGCTAATTCATCCAATTATAATTCAATTTAGATTTCGAAAAAATATTAATTTAAAAAAACTAGACAGCGCAAGCAAAAAATTTTAAAAACAAAACGAATCATCGATAAATAAAAATTGATTGTAAAATAAAAATTGAAGATAATTCTCTGAACTATAAAAGAGGAAACTTTTAGTGTACCTTATTCTGGAAGCTCTGCTGACTGTGATTGACCAAGATAGGTTGCTGACTGTTGAGCTGCTCGTCCCGCTGCTGCTTGTTCTCCAGACTGTTTCTCAACAAGCTGAGCACCCTCTTGTCGGCGCCGGTGTTGCTTGGTTGGTCCATCGGCTGGCCGCCGGACGTGCCGCTCGGAAGACACGTCGTCTTCTGAGATGACTGACGATAACTCGGGTAAGTCGGCTGAGCGCCGCTCAATTGTTGCGGCAACGAGTGCGCGTTCACCGATTTCGAGATCACCGGATGATTGTACGACGACGGCGAGCTTCGCATGGTCTTGGACTCCGCGTAGGTTCTTTTATCACAGTAAGCCGGCTGGTACCTAGACGATTCCGGCACGGAATAACCGCCGCCGTCGGATCTCTGATCGTAGGCACCGGACGCCAGGGGGTGCAGAGCTCCGTTCGGCAGAGGTACCGGCATATTCATTTCCTGTCGCTTCTGCTGCTCATTCAGCGTACCCGCGGCCGACAATTTCGGCTTGATCGCCTGCTTGTCGGCGGCGCCCGGCACGTGCCAAGCCAATCTCGACTGCTTGCTGGGACTTGCGCTGTAGATCTGTTCCCCGGCTCTCTTCAGCGGCATTCGCTCGCGCTGAGAGAACTGCTGATCGTACTTGGCCCTGCTGTCCGTTAGATAATACTTGCTTGGATCAGGCGGATAGTCTTGCGCGGGCAGTGTAGATGGAACGAGCCGTTGCGACGGGTCCATCATCGGGGGATACTTGGAGAACCTCGGAGAATCGTTCGCCTGGACGTACGACGAGGACGCGAGCGACGCGGACGACGACGAAGGCGGCGGCGGTATCGTCAGACCGTCGTACAGCGGCGATGTGGGCAGTGGGCGCTTCTTGAACGTGGACATGTGAGGCAGTGGGGCGGTATTGTTCGCGTGGTGAGTCGGAAGGGGCTGGCCAGGTGGAACGTACAGCTGCTGCGTGGTGCTCCTACGTAGGGGATTCTCGTGGTGCGACTGATGACGCAGCGGCGCCGAATTGAAATCCGGCAGAAAGTCGACTTTCGGCGCGCACACCGTCTGAGGCGTCGACGATCGAACGCAGGGCATGGAACTCCTCGAGCTGTTGCTCGAGGGCCTCGGATGATCGTACGACGGGTACGACGATTGGGCCGGCGTCGATTGATGCACGGGCGGAGGCGGCATCGGTCTGCTCCTCGAGCTGGCTAGATTCGAGCTGCTGACATGCTTATCGGCGCCGCTTATGGCCTCCAAGTCATCCTGCGCTGTAGAGTCAGCCGACGTCTTCACCGTCTTCACGGACAAATCCAACGGAGACTCCCTCTTGCGAACCGTACTGCTCGGCGACGGGGAGCTCGACATGGCCGAGCCTCCGATCGGAGCAGCTTGAGCACCGCCGGACGACGTTGAGTTCTGATATTGAGGATACTCTTTGTAGCCGTAAGTCTCGGCCGTCATTCGCGTCGACGGCTGGTGATGATGATAGGACGACGATCCCGCCGATCGATCCGGCTCGTCGGAAGACTGATACGCGTGGATCGTCGGAACGGAAGACCTCGTGGCGCCAGCACTGCTGTGACCAATAGAAGTGACCGTAGTGCTGCTGGTGGAATTGCCGTGATGACTGGGCGCCATGGTGGTGGCGTACGACGACGGGTAACCCTGCTGACTGTACCGGGAGCCGTACGTCATGTTCGTCACGGTCGTCGTCCTGCCGTTCACCGGTATCGCGTGATTCATAGCCGAGACCGGAGTCATCGGATACTCGGCGAGCCTCTGCGGCGGCATCGTCATCGACGACGGCGTCGACGGCATCACGGCAGACGGGATTTTGCTGGCCGCGCTCGTCGAATGCAGCGTTCGTTGCCGCTGCATTGTCGATTGCGCCAATTTTCCCAGAGACTCCCGCCTATTGGAATGGTAAGACGAAAGAGCGGCGATCGGTGGCAGATTGTGCGTGTTGCTGCTCCTTTGCGCAGCTGGCCGGTGCGTTCCGTAGGGCGTGGCAGCCGCGACGTCCATCGCGCTCCTCTTCGCCGTGTCCGCGCCGTTGTACGTCGCGTGTTTGCCGCTCTGCTGATAGCTGCTCAGATTATTGCTGGCGGGAGTGCCGGAAAATACCGTCTGTGGCGGCACCAACATCTGCTGCATACCGTACGACTGATTGTGAGATCGGCCGGGCTGGGAGTAGTAACTGCTCGCCTGAGAACTCGGTTGCGGGCTCTTCTGGAAGGAATGGTACGAAGACTGGGACGGTGGTGGCGGCGGCGGCGCGTAAGGATTGCTCGCCGTCGCGTAAGCCGCCGCTGTCGTCTGATAATGCTGAGAAGTCGCCGGCGGCAGATTGTACGAGTGCGGAGTCGATCTCGACGGCGGCGGCGGCGGCGGCGGCGGATACGTCGGTGAGCGCGGCTGAAATCCGTTGTGCGGCGAGGGAGTGTGATGAGGCGACGGAGAAGCGTGCGGATTGTGCAGACCGGATTGCCGTTGCGGCGACGGCGTCGCGTGATGCGGCGACGGTGTCGCGTGATGCGGCGACGGGGTTGCGTGGCGCGGCGGCGGCGGTGCCTCGTGATGCGGCGACGGCGTAGTCGCGACGTGATAGCCGCTCGGAGGCGGTGGCATCTGCTGCTGCGAGTGATTTGTCACGATCGAGGATGACGACGGCGCGCCGTGCGGCGGCGGCAACACACGATTACCGGACGGAGAGCCGTGCGGCGTCGCGTTCATACGACTAGGATGAGATTGCTGATGCGGCTGCTGCTGATGCGGCTGCTGCTGATGCGGCTGCTGCTGCTGCTGATGCGGCTGCTGCTGCTGCTGCTGCTGCTGCTGCTGCTGCTGCTGCTGCTGCTGCTGATGCTGATGATGATGATGCACCGAGGAGACGACGGATGGCAGATGCGACGAAGGAATGTGCCCCGGAAGATTCTGCGGCTGCGTCTGCGAAGGAATGTGACTGGAGGTGGAGCTACCCGCTGCGGACTGACGCGGGCTGACCGCCGGCGACGAGGAGGAGGAGGAGGGCGCGGTGGAAGAGTGCGGTCCGTCCGAATTATACGTTCTGTCGCCGACACCCGAGGCGGGAGCGACGGTCGGACGATGAGTCGGCTGCTGATGCTGGCCCGCGGAGACCCGATAATTCTGCGACGGGCCCGATCCGTACATCGTGGATCCGCTGAGAGGACTTTGAGCGGGCGGCACGTGGCCGCCGTAAGTACCGGGTACTCGTTGCTGCTCCGGCGCACAATGTCCTTGCGCGACGACAACGCTAGACGACGTCGCGTTGCTTTGCTCCACCGGCGTCGGTCTCGTGCTCGGCTGCTGAATCGTGCTGGATGGCTGAGCTACGCTGGCCGACTGATAAATGGAGCTCTGCGAGAACGGAGCCGGCGCACACTTGGTGATGTCCGGATGATGATAGCGCGGATAGTACTGTGTCCTCTGCGCGACGATCGGCTGCGACGGCCGTTCGTTGCTGTTGGCGTTCTGATAGGTCGCGTGCGACGAGGAGGAGGCGAGCATCTCAGCCGCGCTGAAGGACGTTCTGCTGACACTGTTGAGCTGCTGGTACACCGGACCGGGGGAATGTGGCGGCTGAGGCGGTTGCATCTGGTGCAAATGCGACGACGACGGATTCGACGTTTGCAACTGATGCTGATGATGGCTGTGATCGCTGGACGACGAGGTGGACGAAGTCGATGACGACGCCGGCGGTCTCTGCGAAAAGCTTGACGACGATGCGACGACGGAGGAGGATTGATGATTAGAAGGTTGCATCTCGGTTAGAGTAACGGTACCCGAGGAAGAACTAGGCTCCATGGCGGCGCTTTCGTCCCCTGGCCTCGTGTCCGGAACTTCGACCCTGGTCGGCTGTGGCGGATAAGGTTCCACATGCGGACTCCAAAAGCTAGAAGCGGAAGTCGCAACACTGCTCTCCACCGACGATGACGGTCTGATGTCGGCGGAATACCGACTCGACTCCTGGATGCTATTGTTGCTATTGTTACCGCTGCTGGCGGAAGTCGAGATCGACTGCGTTGATTGAGTCGGCTGCGACGAAGCGCCATCTTGCGCCGTTGTCGACGTAGATGAAGCGGAATTTGTAGAGGATGTCGCGTGGAGATTGTGATCCACCGACGTGGCCGCACCACCTGTACTCGGTACGGGCAGTCCCTGGAAGTACTGGCGAGCCCCCTCTAACACGTTCGTGAAGCTCACATCCATGTCACGCCGACTGCTAATCTGTAACGATACGACAATAACGAATTGAAGGTTACGTTCTGATGAGATTATAATTTGTTATTCAGAATTTTTTAATTTACATTTCTCTTTACTGCGATACTTTTGTAAGAATCTTTAGAATTTATAGGGCGCCGCGACGCTGCTCTGTTTAGAAATAGTTCGGAAATCAGAGTTGTAAGAGCTGTGAAGCTGTCGTTGCAGAAACCTTAGTGCTAGTGCGTGGAACGAAGAATATCCCGAACTTAAAGCGGAGTCCGCAACGCTACGTTTGGTCCAACGTTTTGCGTCTGCACAGGCCAAACTGCGCAGGCAAGATGGACTGGGCAGGTAAAACGTAGGTAAAACGGCAATCCAGGGGTGTCTTTGCAGTACAACTTTTTCCACTTGGTTGCGCGGAATCATGAAGGAAGTGCAACTTTTGCAATTGTTTTGCCAAAAGAAGGCAAATTAAACACCTTTAAAAAAATTTATCAAGTCAAAGCAATTGATCAAGAAAAAAAAAAAATAAAATTTTTGAACTCCGCGATATGCAAGACGCACAGACATGCTTGCAGGTAAAACAGTATACGGAGACGAAAAACGAAACTTGGTCCACACGCAAGGTTTTGTCCACGTTCTGCCTACGCAGTCAAGACGTAGACAAGACGTGACATGTGGACAGAAAGACTGCAGTGTGAACTGTGCGGAGACGGTACATGGAAACGACAAAATATGCCTCGAAGTATTTACGTTTTGTCTGCGCAGTTGACCTGTGCAGACAAAACGTAACGTGTGGACGTTTAAAACCCGGTCGGCTCCGTAATTCTTTTCCCGTCCCTTGCAGATTGTTTCCTGATTAATTTTTCGAGCGGCTTGCACGTTTATAAAATTTTATATTTTAAACAAAAAAGTAGAACGTTAAAATGTTTTATTCATTTTCAAGCTTTCGAATTTTATATATCGATATAATAAACAATTCATAACAATGATTGAAATGTATTAAAATTAAATTGATATAATAAAAACGAAAGCATAAAAAATAATTAAAATGTATATTTTAACATTCTAGGCCTAACAAAATATTATGATATAAGATTTTAAGATTAAATGTTAAAATGTACATTTTATTCATTTTTAGGCCTTAGAATTTTATATTATATCATTTAGTAAGCCTAGAACTTCATTGCGATGCATTAAAATCTTATATTTTAGAATTCTAGACCATTTGTTTGTTTAAAATATAAGATTTCAATACATCGTAGTAAAGTTCTATACTTGTCAAATAATACGATGCAAAATTCTAAGACATGAAACTCAATTAAATGTACATTAATGTTAAAATGTTAATTTTATTCATTTTTGTGCCGTATAATGTTACATCTAACATTAAAAGCTGCAGCGCGCGCACTGTTATGCTTTAATATATTAAATTATATATAATATTTCGCGATGGAAATTCATTTAATATCTTGACGCAACAGAAAATATTTAAACTATCGGAACACAAAAACACATAACTGATTTATATTTTGCACCTGTATTCTAATTTTAGATAACTCTTGTTAAAAAACACGAAAAATTATAAACAGAATTCTCTTTCGAATTCTGTTGCGAATTATAGATCGTCTACGGTGGACTTTTATACAATTACGATTATCCATGAAGATCATTCACAATGAGTCACTTTAAATAGACTTTGCAGGCTTATAAAATGAAGTCAACAATATCGTTCATTTTTCTAATTGCAAATTATGTCAGAATTGCCGATCAGAAACAAAGCCATCGTTCACGTTGAATTATTGAAAAGATCGTCCGCCCACGGTAGATTTAAGGTCAGAGATATAAGAACGTAAAAGTTCCAAAGTCGAGTTCGAAGAGGCACCTCTCCCCGGGGATTATCGAAACGTTCGCACGATGCCGTCGACCCGTGGAACGGTCAGCAGGGGAAGCGAACGAGGCCGGAGCATTAATCTTCATTGTCTTGTATTTGTCTGTTACGAGAGGTGGACGTATTCTCCCCTCCTGCCGCCGTCTCCTTCGTCCTCGATCTCGATCCGGCAAGTCCGATCCTGCATTATTAATCTCTCAGTATCGTGAAAGATAAGATAAGATCATTTCACCGCGACCCGCCGAAGGGGAACAGTGGATAAAAAAAGATCGGACGACAACCGCGAACAACACCTCACCCCTACATCTCGTCCCCGAATCGACAGCGGGGGGGGGGGGAGGACGGCCGCGCGATCGAATCGCCGATGAGCCCCATCCATTTTCCCTCCTCAAAAATTTATAAACTTCATAAATTCGAAATTCTTTCAAGCAAACTCGGCGACGGACGCGTGAGGGATGCCCGCTCGGCGGAGAAATGCGCCGCGAGAGATCTCTCGCATTATCACGCGCGTACGTCTCGGCGCTTAACGCGGTCACCGCTTTTATCGTAACCGATAACCGCTATCTTTTTGTTTGAGGGGGCGACTTTCGAGGCGTGGTATATATCGCGTTTAGTAGTTTCGACGAGGGAGTTTCGGTTATCATAATAGAGCCGCGGAACTGCGCGCCGTTATTACCCACCGCCATCACCGCGAGGCAAATAGCCTCTTCAGCGATCGGCGAGGCGTCGAAGGCCCCGTCATCCTCCACTCGAAGCAGCCGTCTGCAATATGGATCGTTATCGATCCGGGCTGGCCGAGAGAGAGAGAGAGAGAGAGAGAGAGAGGAG